TTATTTAATTAATTAATTAATCGATACCTATGAAAGATCTTGAGATATTATTTAATTAAGTTCGACTGTGATCAACGTCTTCAAGAGAAAAGAAAAAAAAAAAGTAACGTAGCGCGTACTTAAAGTATTATAATTAATTGATTTATCATTGAACAAGTTTCTCTCTCTTTTTTTCTTTGTTTTTTTTCTTCCTTAATTTTCTTACTCTTTTCTTTTTGAATAACGCCCAACGTTACGCAAGAGGAAGAGAGAGAATAATGAAAAGAAGAAGAAGAAGAAAAAGAAAATTAATGAGAGGCTCGTTAGATTAATTAGAATGATTTAATACAATTCGCAGCTTTGTCTTTTTTCTTTTTTTTTTTTTTTCACTTTGCGTTTCACTTTAAGTATGAAATATTTATATTAAAAAAAAAAGAAAAAGAAGAAAAAAGAAAAGAAAAAGTCGCGAATTTTTCAAAATTTTTTTCAATGTTCATGATAATAACGTGTATAACCGTCGAGTTTGCGTGCCAAAAGGAAGAAAAAAAAATATATATATATATTAATGATAAATTAGATAACAAAAAATATGATACGCTCGATTTAAATCTATTCCCAAAATTATTTTGTTATTTTAGAGCTGCCGAAAGAATAGAAAAAGAAATTCTTAGGAAGCAAAAATAGTAAAAAGAAAAAAAAAATAATGTTCGATTGCAGAAGGAGAAAGAAAGAAAAATAAATAAATATGAATAAACAATGATACGTGCCTGGAATATTATTTTTATATTATTTAACCCTAATAGAAATTTAAACTCGTCCAACTTTTTTAACAATAAACAAAATGATAAATTCTTTTTTCATTGTACCTTCAATGGCATGATAAAAAAAAAGACATTAAATAATAATAATCGAATCGTTTAAAGATCGGACGTATCATATAAATACTATAGTTACTTATATAATATATATCTACAATTATATATACATAGGTGTGTATATATATATATATAAAAACAAGTGATATCTGCAAAAAAAACCATAAAATATATATATATATATTAATTGTTTAAAAATATGTAGGAAAGAGGAGATAAACTCGACGTATATAGGTATAATACTTGGCAAAGTGCCTGGTATCTATATAATATAGTACTATATATATATACTTCAAACAAGTGGCCATAATTGAATCCGTCTAAACTTTTCTAAGCCGGTGCTCGATTATAAATACATATAATAGAAGAGACAAAACGAAATAAAAGAAATAATAAAAAGTAAATTATATCTATGTGCTACGTGGGAGCTGTTCGGTGCTTCCATCTGATAAAAAGAAAGAAAGAAAGAAAGAAAGAAAAAAAAATTAATAAATAAATAAATAAATAATCATCAGGTAAACACAAAGAGAAATAGTGTATAGGCAATTGCTAATAAATAATAAATATAAATTGTTACAAGAGTACCTCTCACTCGTGCCAAAGAAGATGCGCCGTTTGCACGGTCTATTGTATTTTTTAAATAAACGTGGGTATATGAAATATCTGTATTATATTGGTCAAAAATAGTCGACAAATATACTGACATAAATCATTTTTATGATATAGGACCAATTCGAAATGTTTCTTCCATCGTTCTAAACAAACTACAAATAATTTCATCGGAGACTGATATTACACACCACCACTAGTACCAAGCATTTACCCGCTCACCCCTTCCTCTTTCTCTCTCTCTCTCTCTCTCTCTCTCTAGAGAATTTGAAAAAATATGCAAAAAGAAAAGAATAAGTACACCGTGCGAACGGAATTCAAGTTCATAAGGTTTCGAGTACATACTATAATTTTTCTATAGAACAAATGAAAGAATAATATAAATAAGAAAATAGAGTGTATTTCTTTTTCTTCTTTGTTTTTTTTCCATTTTCCGATCTACGATTTTTCTGTTTTTCTGAAAGGAAAAAAGAAATGAAGCAAAATAATAATAAATAAAATAGATAAACAAAATAGACAGAGAAATAGATAGTCAGGAAATATCGAATTTCCTTTTTGTTTGAAAAAAAAAGAAAAAAAAAGGGAAAAAAAAAGACATATATTGTACGTAATTCAATAACATCCGGATGATGACAACGCCTACAACGACGGCAACGATGATGACGATGATGACGACGATTATCATGATGATCGTAATGCTAATGATGATAATGAATATGGCCAATTTAGATGTTGCAACTACGCGTGTCCATTTGTTTTTCTCATTAAGCGGACAACTCGTAAAAGCATAAATTAAATCTTGTAAGAATAAACATTTATTCTATTGCGATGTAATAGGAATCGTTATTATAAAAAGCAAACTACGTATTTGTTATATTCCTTTTCGGATAAAGGAAAGCGCATTATATTTTCATTTAGGCCATGTATATTAATAAAAGAGGAAAAAGAAAAGAAAATTAAAAAAAAAATTGAATAAATAAATAAATTTACTTTTATGAAAAACAAGTCTTCTCTCTTCTCATTCCACTCCAATGTTAATACAGTTGGTATCAATAGATCCCTGTTTTATAGATCGGCCATTTTTGGCTGCCGCCATCGTCACCGCTGTCGGCTATCTTCGGCCATTGTCGTCGTCGGCCATCTTCAATCGTTAATCCTATTTTTGCAAACGCATAAGAAAAAAACTCTATTAAACTCTTGTACGATTATTGTAGTTGCGACAATACTTCCATTTCTTTTTTTTTTTTAATGACAAAGTCACTCAATAATCTTTAAAAATTCAATCATGAGTTTTAGAATACATTCACGATATTATAGAACAAGAGTTTAATTTACTGTATCTGGTCCTTTTTTTTTTCTTTTTTCAATTCCTTTTGCAAGGAAATGTTCTTATTTTGTATTAATCTTTTACTTTATAAAGTAAAAATGAAAAAGAATATACACACGCAAAGTAAAAAAAATACTTTTCGTATTTCCCACCTTTTTTCAAAGTGTATAACAAGCCAGTTCAATTTGACCAATCAGATAACAGAGTTAAAGGCTTATAGCCTAGTACAGACGTTCGACATGTGGATTAATATTAGAAGAAATTTATTCGATAATATTTATTAGAATTTCTTTTATCGATATTATAAAGAATTGATATCAGTTTAATTTTATTTGTATTATCGATTAAAATGCGTTTTGATAGTTGACAACAAATATTTTTCTTTGTGATTTTAAGGTTAAGATAGACATAATGTTGTTAATACATTGTCAACGTTTAATAAGTAGATATGCTATCAGAAATATATCTACTAATGTATCAAAAAATTTAATGAAAGAATACCATAGTCCTGAACAGAAACGAAGATTACGATCAACGGCACTTTATGTGACTGGTTTGGGTATACTTGTAGCTGGGCTTAGTTATGCAGCAGTACCATTATACAGAATATTTTGTCAGGTATATTTTATATACTATCATAATTATATTTTATATAATCTTAAAATATCATATTCTTTTTATTGTGTATATATTCTTTTATGTAATATATTTAAATGAATTCTATTTGAATTATTATATATTTTTGAATTAGGCATATAGTTTTGGAGGAACTGTGGTTGGTCATGATAATAGCAAAATAGAATCAATGAAACCTATTAAAGAAAGAAAAATAAAAATAAAGTTCAGTGCTGATACAGGTGCATCAATGGCATGGAATTTTAAACCTTTACAACGTGAAATAACTGTAGTCCCTGGAGAGACCGCATTGGCATTTTATACCGCTAAAAATCCAACAGATAAACCTGTTATAGGCATATCTACGTATAATGTACTTCCATTTGAGGTAGGACAGTATTTCAATAAAATTCAATGCTTTTGCTTTGAAGAGCAATTATTGAATCCTCACGAACAGGTAACTTTTTAAAACTTAAATCTAAAGCTAACAATGTACTTAATGTAGAAAAATTAATGAGAATTATGTTCATTTTAGGTCGATATGCCAGTATTCTTTTATATAGATCCAGAGTTCAATGAAGATCCTAAAATGGAGTTTATCGATGATATAACACTGTCGTATACATTTTTTGAATCAAAAGAAGACCTCAATCTTCCTTTGCCGAGTTATATTAAAAAATACGTAGCTTCGTAATGAAACACAAGTTTGTCCTTTCATAATGTACAAAAGAAATATAGTGGATTTTTTAATTGAATCATTTAAATTTCAATTTTAATCTAGATTTCTCTAGGTGTACGTTTATTTCAATAAAGTCTAATATATAATCTAATATATATATATACATATATATATATATATATATATATATATATATATATATACAAATAATTATGTGTGTGTGCTTAAAGCTTTAAATATGTATATATTACTACTAATTAAAATCTAAATAATGCATTAACTGGATATGCACGTCTTAGGCCGCAAACCTTTTCTCTATCAATATATATTGCATCTATTTTAAGAGCTAGATCATGTTCCAATGCAGTCCTTGTTCTCAACAATCTTTGATGTTGATCCTCAAGTTCTTTCAAAGCTTTATGCATACGTTTTACTTGATGATCTATTTCATCAATTTCTTTTTGAAGGCTATAGAAATGAATGCAAGATATTATAGTCAAGTGAATATAAAATTTGTATTAGGAAAAGAAAAAAGAAAATAGAAAACAAATAGAGAGAATACCTTGAGTGAACATTATCGCGACATAATTCCAAATCTGGACGATGCATTCTGGCCTCTAATCTCGTATGTGCAACTTTAATGGCATGACTTTTATCAGCAATAGCTTTACGCATTAATTCCATATTTTTTTCAACATCAAATATTTCCTGTTGTACCTATAATATATTAATATGTTAATATCAAAAAATTATTAAACAGATCATATAAAATCATACTTTTTGTAAATGTTGTTGCAGTTTATTTTTAGCTTCGAGTAATTCAGAAGATCTATGTGTCAAAGCACTATTTGTAGTACTCCATGAATCCCACATTTCTTGAGCCACTTTATTTATAAGAGCTTCTGCACTTGTTCGCAACTGATTAGACATATTTCTTTCGTGTTGTGATTTTTGTATTATGCGATTTGCTGCCTCTGCCCAACATTCTTGTTCTGAGAGACTAATGTAAAAAAGTTTAATAAGATTAATATGAAGTTACTTTTTATTTATTAATTATTTCAAAATTAGATTTATTTACCAAGGATCATATTTTTCAATTCCAGTGTAATATTGTAGTCCATGGCTATAATTATTCAATTGATGACACATCATATCTATACCTAATGCACTCTCTTTGTTTTTCAAATCTAATTCTAATTGATTTTGTGAGGCTCTACAATTTCGCAACTGCAAGAATACAAGAATGAAATATATATACATATATATACTATTTTACAAATTGTATTAAAAATTAATTACATACCTGATCTTTACATTTATCTAGGCATACATCTAAATTTCTTTGACAATTTTTTAAGTTTTCTATTTCTTTCAGCAAACATTTTTCTGATTCATCATGAACAAGTTCTGTCCCTGTGTCACATAAATTTTATCTCATATACATTTATTATATATTACATAATCATCTTATATACCTTTTCTTGCTTCTCTATGATAAAGACATTCTTCTGCAATATGTAATGGTCCATCAATATCTCTTATTGCTTTATCTAAAACAGAACGACAATCCTGAAGTCTTTCTATTTCTTGTAGTAATCTTTCCAATTCTGAAACAATTTCATTTCGCCAAAAGGATACATCATTTATTCTTTCACCCAATCTTCTTCCAGTATCTAATTGCCCATATTGTATTTTCTCTTCTGCATTCCTATGAATACATCAATAATTAAGATTATTATAAATATAATTAAGAACAATTTTTAACACATACCTAACTATTCTTAAAGCATCCTTTCTCAATCTTTCTGATAAATGTCTATTAGAATCTGCTTCATTATAATATTTAATTTGTTTTTGGAACCATTCATTTGGTGTATATCTTGTATAAAGAGCTGCTTTAGATGTATGCACAGAATCTCTATGACATCCTGTTACTAAATCAGGAAACTTTAATGGCTTATGCATAGTACCACTGGTTGCATCCAATGGATAATTTGATATACATTTTCTAGTCCTAAAAGAGCAACACTTATTATGATTTATATCAATAAAGAAATTTTGATAGTATATAGATAAAAATAAATAATAAACGTACAATGGTATAACTTCAATATTTTCAAATCCTGTATTAGGTCTCCAAGGTAATAAATGATGTGTACGACTGTAATCGCTTACATGGATAGGAATTTTTGATTCCATGTATGGCATCGATGTACCAACAATACTCCATGGCTGTAATTGCTATATAAAGAAAAAAAAAGAATTCATTATTTTTAATAAATAATATTTTAAATCTCAAGGAAAGCTATCCATCATATATTTGTCAAAGAAATTTATATAAATAAATAATCATTTAACAAACACATTTTTTACACAATTTTACACTCTTTGATATAAGAATAAAATATTAAGGAATGTCCTTTGAAATCTATTGACTTATGTGATATATTAAAAAAAGAAAAAAGAAAAAGTAAACAATTTTTATAAATTTATATTATAACCTCTCATTTTGATTAGCGCGCGTATAATAGTTCAGTATTTATGACATTTCTCAACATGGCAGACGTACCAAGTACAGCACCAGAACGTAAGATAGATTTATCAGTTATTATAATTTTATATTTTACATTAATTATTGCAATTTTAATTGTCATATCTATTATGTACGTATCGTATTATAATACAAGCTCGATTAGTAATATATTGTCATTGATCATAAAAATAAATTAAAGGTTAGAATTTTGTCTGAAATTCGTTTTTTCTTTTCTTTTTCTTTTCCTTTCTTTTTAATAATTTCAATCAATGACGCAAAAATGATTCATATAAAAACTATTACAAATATAAAAAGGTTTATTGCTATTGTGCAATTTTCTTTTTTCTTATCTTTTCTTTTTTAATTATTTTCATATCGAAATTCCTTAAAAAGAATTTTCGCTTATGAGACAGAAAATTATCAGAATATTTGCAGATTGTCCTGGTACACAAAGTGATCATGCCGGTAAAGCATCCGCTTGTGCGGGATGTCCAAATCAAGTATTATGTGCGTCAGGTGCAACGAAACAACCAGATCCTGATATAAAATTGATTAAAGAAAAATTGTCTAATGTCAAACACAAAATCCTGATTTTATCTGGCAAAGGTGGAGTTGGTAAAAGTACAATGACTTCATTGATATCTAGAGTCCTGGCAGATAATAATCCTGATAAGAATGTAAGAATTATTCATATTTCAAATTAAATATAATAATTTTGTTATATTATACATACCCTTTTTCCTATCCCAAGTACATCCATGTGATTCTCTATGTACATACTGTCATATTGAACACTATTGTGCCTTCCTCCTTTTAAGAAGAATACCAAAAACTTAACTATATCTATAGATGTATAGGTATCTATGTCGTATCAACTTGTACCAGCCTCTTATTGATTATCACAGTTCTTATATATAACAATAGTTTACATACATTAGCCATGCTTTCTAGTTACATGCATAATGATATTTAAATGTCTACATAAATTAATTTTCAAATACTCTTTTTTTCTATAATATGGGTTTTAGATTGCTGTATTGGATATTGATATTTGTGGTCCATCACAACCAAGGATCTTAGGAGCAATTGGAGAACAAATACATCAAAGTGGTTCTGGCTGGTCTCCTGTGGTAATCTAATGAATAAATTTTATACATGAATGTTAATTAATAAATATTCTAGATGACTAATGTTAATGAATATTTTCAGTATATCGAGGATAATTTATCGTTGATGTCAATTGGATTTTTACTTGATAGTCCAAGCAGTGCTGTAATATGGAGAGGGCCTAAAAAGAATGGTATGATACGACAATTTTTGTCAGAAGTTGATTGGGGTAATTTGGATTATCTTATACTGGATACACCACCTGGTACCTCGGATGAACATTTGTCGGTAACAACATATTTAAAAGGTGCCGGTATAACTGGTGCCATAGTTATCACTACACCTCAACAGGTTGCTTTGTTGGATGTGAGAAAAGAAATAGATTTTTGTAACAAAGTAAACATTCCGATATTAGGTGTAGTTGAAAATATGAGTTTGTTCGTATGTCCTAAATGTAAGGTAAGTTTTTTAATTTTATTTCAATAAATCCAAATAGTCTTTCAAAAGGAATATCGGTTTAATAAAAAATTATCATTTTCTTAGAATTCAGCAGAAATTTTTCCGGCACTGACAGGTGGTGGTCGTGCTATGGCCGCTGATTTAAATATTGATTTCTTAGGATCATTACCATTGGATCCATTGATTGCAAGATGTTGCGACGAGGGAAAGAACTTTTTAACCGACATTCCAGAATCACCGACAATCCTAGTTTTACGGGAAATCGTTAAAAGTAAAGTTATTTCACAACGATTAATTAACCTCATTCACATATTGTAACATTAGTATAATTTATTTATTATTTTTTTTTTTTTTTTTTTTTTTTTTTTTTTTTTTCTTTCTTTCTTTTTCAGAGATCGTACGTAAATGCGAAAATGAAAAGGAAAATAATGCAATCGAAAAAACCTAAGAGATTTTTATGCTGATATAAAATAACAAATTTATATTGTATTTAAAGTATATGTTCATAAAAATTAAATATTTTATTTCTCCAATAACATTGATATATTCATTCGTATAATTCTATTTTAAGAATTATGAGACTTGGATTCTTACACAATAATCAATGAAACTAATGAAACAGTTATCTGCATATATGTGATATTGCTGTATTCTCATATTACTGAACACATATACATCTTGTAATGTAACTTCATATTTAGCTTATAGATAATATTTATATGTGTGTTCTCTTGATAATGAAACTTTGTATTTATCATAAAAGGCAAAAGAGATTATTTGTCTTTTAACTAATGCAATTCTGCGAGTTTATACATACATATACATATATTCTGTTTTGTTTACGTATTAAAATTTTATTATTATAATCGATTTAACACATTGATTGCCAACTAACGAGATAAATCGTAATTTGCGTTATTGCTTAAGATATACAAACTATGAGTTATCACTGATAATTTAATATTATTAATTTAATTAATTTGTTTTTTTTTAACATTACACTCAAAAAAAATATACATGTAATACGTTTGACTCTATATCAGATTTATTATTATAATTTAAACGCATATCTCTGATTTAGCTGTAGCAAAAGCAACGTATCTGTGCACGAATTAAACTCTTAGTTGGCTTTTCTACGAAGAACTTTATGTTACATAAGCCAACTATGAGATAATGATTAACAAAATCTTTGTTTTCTTTCTCTCTCTCTCTCTCTCTCAAGAAAACACATTCTAATATGTTTTTCAATGATTACTATGTTATTACAATTAGAATTTTTAATAATATAATATGATCAAATTAACTTTTTACAACAGAATCCTGAAAAATATTGTGACAAAAATGATTTATTACTAACGACAAATGAATAACACGAAACGTGCGAAAATAATCAAGATTACGATTCAATGACAACGTAATTTCAAGAAAAAAAAAAAAAAGAAACATTAAAGGTTAAACATATATAGAAAATGTCAAAACTTTTATCAGTGTTATCAAACAAGCGACAAATAACAATCGAGGATACTTGCGGTCTACCAGATTTAAATTAAATATTACTTTTCTACGTAATATTTTGAAATTGTTTCAATTTATAGTAAACTATTTTTATGCTATGCAAATTATGTATATTGGATTTTTCCTTGAATATATATATATACATATGTATATGTATATACATACGAAAGGATGAGACATAATGATACTAAATATACACGCTATAAGATAAGTTGCAATCTTTCATTTGGCAGAGTGAACGACGCATTCCAGTGCTAACGACTCAATAAAGAAGAATCGAGACAATTTCTTTCTGAAGCTAAAGTGAAAAATTACAAAAGACTTATTCCAATCGAGAAAGTCGGTAAGATATTTGAAAGATATTTGATACAATCTATTTTAATAACAAACGTCATTATGTTTTGCTTCTTTTGTTTTCCTCTTTTTCTTCTTCTTTTTTTTTTATGTTTTGAAAATACCAAAAGTGAGATTATTGAATTTAATTCGTTGTACGAAACATTTAATTATAATTATATAGATATTAATTTGAACATAATTTTGAGGTTATATATATATATATATATATATATATATATATGATAAATATTCTTGTCGAATTAGAAATAAATGTGTAACTTTGTTTGATAGTACTTCTTCATCCAGAATTTGTAAAAAAAACAATAAGGAGAATTTCTTTTTCCTTTTTCATGCATGATAATAATTTATTTATTTATGAATTTCATTTTTAGATTTAAAATTATATCTTGAATAATCCTTTTTTTTTTATATTTATAGATATTATTATTATTATTACTATTATTACTATTATTACTATTATTACTATTATTATTATAATCATGTTATTATATTAATCAAATAATTAAATGATATCAATTTTGTGTTTCTTATTGTGTTTCTTATCTTGCAGGTGTATAAATTGTTGCTCCAAAATGATTATAAAGGGTAACAATGAATTTAAGAAGAGTACATCTGAACTAGTTAAACAAGATGATAAATCTAATGAATCTTCTAAACTAGTTAAGGTGGAAATATTAAAGGCAAATGATAAAGAATTGAAAATTGTAAAGGGAATTGTAGATCCAAGAAAAAATTCCCACATAAAATTTGCTATGTCTTATGTCGCTATAACGCTTCTTGCAATTTTTTTAACTATTGTTATAATAATTGCTGTACTGCATTCGCCTTATTCTATATTTAGTACCGAGGAATCAAGGATTTATATGAATGATATTGTTAATGATTTTGAAAATTGGAGATATAAAATGATTAAAGATCCAGATGATATTATCGAAGAGAGAGAATACGTCTATGTTTCTATTATTATGCAAGACAATGAAACATTAACAATTAATAATGAACCGGAGGATCAGTTGCAAGTAACTAATCCAATTTTTATTTAAATAAACATGTATAAATGATTATTGATTTTAATTATAAAATTTATACATTGGCATTTTAGTGTAAAAAAGTTCCTATATCATTACGATTCGATTGTCTTCCGGAATTTGGAGGTACTGTATCTAATTGCGTAAAACGAGGTTGTTGCTGGAATCCAGTAAAATATGATAATGAATTTTTAAATGTTCCTTATTGTTATTATCCTTATAATTGGAGTGTTTATAAATATGAAAACTATAGTCAGCAAGACAACAGTTTTTCTGGATTTCTTACTTTAAAAGAAAAATCTGCTTATAAAAAAGATATACCCCTTGTAAAAATGGAGACAACAATAATTGACAGTTCAATAATACGGGTTAAGGTATAAATGAATACTGTCTTAATAATGTAATTATATTTTTTTTTAATTTAATCAATCAATATATATTTTCAATCAATATTATTGTAGATTTATGATCCTGCAAATCAAAGATATGAGCCTCCATGGCCAATAAAATCTGATTTTCAATCTTCATATTATCTCCCTTCAAAACCACAATACAGATTTATCACAGATGATGAAAAAATTGGATTTAGAATTGACAGAGTTGCAGACAATACGACATTGTAAATTTAAATCCTTTTTTTAGTATTTAAATAACATTTAACATTACCATAATACTGTATTTCTATTTGCAGGTTTGACTCCATTGGTATTGGTGGCTTTATATTTGCTGATCAATTCTTACAGATAAGTGCCATATTACCTTCACAAAACATTTATGGTATTGGAGAACATAGAACGCATTTAAAAGTAAAAAATGATTGGAAACGCTATACTATGTTTAACATGGATCAACCACCAATAGAAAATGTAAGTTTGTTTATATTCGATATTTTAATTATGATTAATTTAAAACGAGAAAATCAAAATAAACTATTCTTTAATATAGGCGAATTTATATGGTTCTCATCCATTTTATCTCATGATTGAAGAATCAGGAAATTGTCATGGAGTATTATTTTTAAATAGCAATCCAATGGGTATATATAGATAAATCCTTTTCATTTATTTTCTTTTTTTTTTTTCTTTTTTTTTCTTTCTTCTTTCGTATTAAATTTTATATTTATTCCTTGTACAATTTAATCTTTACAGAAACGATATTACAACCAACTCCTAGTATAACTTTTAGAAGTATCGGTGGTATTTTTGACATGTACTTTTTCTTGGGACCAACTCCTCAAGATGTGGCAAGAGAATATTCTCAAATTGTTGGTAAACCTTTTTTACCACCGTATTGGTCATTAGGTTTTCACTTATGCCGGTATATTTTCTTTGTTTCTAATATCTACATGAGATATCGTGATTTGAGTATTTATTATATTCTTTGTATATGTATCTTTTTCTTTTTTTCCAGATTTGGATATGGAAGCTTGGAAAAAACTAAAGAAGTATGGAACAGAACCATACAAGCTGGAATACCATTTGTAATATATTCGTAATCTTATAAATTATAATATACATATTATAATTTATTTATAAAAATAAAAATGTGAATTAATATGAATTTATTATTTTTAGGATACACAATGGAACGATTTAGATTACATGGATAAAAATAATGATTTCACATATAATAACAAAACGTTTAAAGATTTACCAAGATTCGTTGAGCAGTTACATAATGTATATGAACTTTATAATAATTTCATTTGTAACTATAAGTCCATCTTATATATAATAATAATAATAATAATAATAATAATAATAATAATAATAATAATAATAATAATAATAAAAGTGTGATATATTATTTCATACATTATAGTTAGGAATGCATTACATTCCATTGATCGATGCCGGTATTGGTGTGTCAGAAAAAAGTGGATCTTATCGTGCATATGATGAAGGTGTAAAGGAGGAAATATTCGTAAAGGATGCGGTATCCAATAAACCATTTGAAGGAAAAGTTTGGAATAAAGGATCAACGGTGTGGCCTGATTTCACCAATCCAAAAACAAAAGATTATTACTTGAATATGATGCAAGATTTGCATAATAATTTCCAGTACGATGGTGCATGGATTGTATGTATTATTTAATATTATTATTTTAAAATAATTTATTGTATGTGTCGCCGAATAATCTATTATTTAAATGTATGTAATTTTTTTCTTCTTTTTTTTTCTTTTTTTTTTTTCTTCTTTTCTTTTTACAAGGATATGAATGAACCGTCCAACTTTTACAATGGCAATAAAAATGGTTGCATTTACAACGAATTAGATTATCCAGAATATACTCCAATGCTTATAGGGAAAAATTTATCTGTAAAAACATTATGCATGAATGCAAAACATTATTTAGGACCACATTATAATCTTCATAATACTTATGGCATCAGTCATGCAATAGTTACAAACTAGTATGTATTTTCAATTTTTATAATGTTAATTAAATCCTATCTATTATAAATAATCGAGAAAATATTTTTAGTGCTCTTACTAATATCAGGAAGAAAAGGCCATTCATAATATCACGTTCTACATGGGTTGGACATGGAATGTATGCTGGTCATTGGTCCGGTGACGATTTTTCTACATGGTAAAAAAAAGGACTAATATTTAGAAAAAAAAAAAAATAAATA